AGATTGTCCGATGATTTCCGCATTCCGCTGGGTCACCTCTCTTTGGAATGGGCACAAATATGGATGGATCTCTTCCAATCAGAAAACTGTCTTCCAAATTTCTTGGCAGAGATGAGTGAGTGCCTCCTATGCTGCCTCACTTTCTTTTAAAGATTTCAATTTTTATTCCATCAATTCCTGGTACCTTGTTCTTTGCCAAGTCCTCAATGCACCTTGGACTTCCTCCTTCAGTATTTTTAAAAGCTCATGAGTAGTCATTTACGGTACAACTAATGGTCTCTCCATGTGCGGAAGAAAAAAGAATGATGAAAACTGAAGACATTTTGGAATCAACTGGGCCAACGGAATAATGGAACAAGTGAACATCAACCTGTTACCCGGAGACCAGAAACTAGATAAGGCCCAGCCATCACTACCAATTGTTTTGAAAAGAATCATATAGGAGGTCCTGAATAGAGTGAGAGAAAATGTGGAACAAAACTCAAAATTATTGAATTAAAAAAACAAAAACAAAAACAGGTCTGCTGGCCAGAAAGAGCCTGGAAGAACCCAAGACTATGGTTCTCCAGTCACTGTTCAGGTTGGAAAGGAAGTCACCCTCATGATTCAATCTTCAGCCAAGCTTTAGACAGATTTATTGGGGGGGGGGGGCAAGCAACAACACTAGTAAGGTATGTTCACCATTCAAGATCAAGTGCAACATTTACCTAAGGACAAAGGTGAGAAGGGATGAGAAGGAAGGTGGAGCAGAACTAGGAACCACAGGGAGGAAACAGGATCACTGTTCTTGCATGGAGGGGACCACAATCATTGAGATGAAACAAAGTGCATGGTTTGCTGAATGTAAAAGTGATGTCTCTGCTCAGTATTTTCACGTCAAATCATTAAAACGTTTGAATAACTCTCTTAAAACAAAAAACTAACCAAGTTGTATTTGACTTTGCAAGTTTATTATTAAAGTCCATTAATAAGGAACAAACATTAATAAGGGACAAACATTAATGTCCATTAATAAGGAACAAACATTAATCAATAAAGGAAAGACACAGGATAAAGCCAGACTTGTAATTGGTTTGTTCTGAAATATTAAGAATATGAAATAAACTACTGAGTCATGCGAACATGTTTTCTTGCTGCCTTCTCCAATAAGCTTTCTGGTTTCATAGGAAAGCACTGGACCAT